TGATCAAATTATATAAGTATCTTTTTTATTTTCTGATAGGTACAATAAAAATGAAACAATGAAGGTTAAACTGAGTGCCTAAAGCTTCAGGGGACAATTCTGATGTGGATTTGTCTTCCCAGAAAAACGAGATCGGGCTATATTTTGAGAAACTCAGAAATCAATATTACAATTATGTAATCAGTGGCTAAACTCTCTGGTTCTGGTTCTAATTATGGTTCTAATTCTCTTGTTCTGTAGGTGTGAATGCGCCATCGGTTTCTCGGGCCCATACTGCGAACATCAGACCAGCTGCGCATCACAGCCATGTCTGAACGGAGCCACGTGCGTCGCACAGGCCAATCAGCTGTCCGGGACAGATTACACGTGCATCTGTGAAGTGGGCTTCCTTGGTGTCACGTGTCTGCAGCAAGACTTCTGCGCCTCGCAACCTTGCAGCATCGTGGCAACGTGTCACAACAATCCGGACAGCTTCAGGTATGATCTGATATAGGCCTACATGTGTAGCTAATATTCTATCGTTATACCTTTGGTAAAATCATTTAGTATACCCTTAACATCATATATGCCTATTTTGGTGCTTTTACCACAAAACCCACAATTCATTCACATATCTGCACCACTAATAGGCGTCTTGGAAATTCAATCTATGATCTTCTTTTTACAATATAGGAACAAGTGTTTAATCGCTTTGTAGCTTTATTTTCTTTATTTCACAGATGTTCGTGTCCACCTGGATATTCCGGTGTCACGTGCAGTGATGTGATTGATCTTTGCAAAGACGTGTCTTGTCTCAACGGCGGTACATGTATAAGTCAGGAGACCAACTACAGTTGTGTGTGTGTTGCGCCTTACTATGGTCGTAACTGCCATCTTGTAAATAGTTGCTATGGCAACCCATGTGGAAATAGGAAATGCATAATATTGAACAACAACATGGCGAATCCTCAACACAAGTGTGTGTGATGCAAATAAATGAGAGATTTATTTAAATGATGGATATTTTCTCAGGTTCAAGTGTGTAATTGTTAATCGTTTTTTTTTCATGTAAACATTTTATTTATTATTGGCTGTAGTTATTATTATTTGCTGTTAATATGAATTATGCCTCTCTTATAATTTATTACGCCACTTGCCATGTGTTAAGCATATGGCGACATTGGTAGAGCTAATGGCTCTACAGACTATAGCTACTTCCTGAGCTTAAAAACTATATTCACATAAAACGTTTATGGAAGATGTGACTATCAACTTATGCTGTCTAAATTTGATACCTCGTGGTGTTTTATATTAATTAAATAAATTACAATCGTCATGTGCCAGTAACTCCAACTGCCGATATTGGTCTCATCCAGGGCCGGACTAAGCGTGTGGGGGGCCCGGGGCACGCAATTGTGTGGGGGCCCTATAGTCTGTATTTTTTCTGCACTTTCATGCTTGCAAATTCAGAGAGTATTTCATCGTGTTTCAACGAATTTAAAATGTCACTTTCGATAGCGAGAATTCTGAGGTTTACCAGTCTCTGTTGGCTCATCGTGGTTCTCATGTGATTTTTAATCAACTTGAGTTTTGAAAATTACCTTTCACCGCTAACAATTCGAGACCATCAATAAAAGATAGATTCTCAGAGCAATTTCGGTATTAGGGAAAGTGTCCTTCAGCTGAACAGCAAAATTCAGTCAGAGAAACAGCATGGGAAACGCATCACTTCAACGTTAGGCCCCTACATGCTAAGAATTTTGTGGATCACAATTACGACAGTTTTGTAAATTTTAGGATACTCTAAATGTGGGGGGCCCCAAATGTGGGGGGCCCGGGGCACGTGCCCCTGTTGCCCCGCCCTTAATCCGCTAGTGGTCTCATCATAGATATAGAATACAGATTCTTCTATTCTATATCTACGGTCTCATTCAGACGAAAGAAAGGTGGAAACGTTCATCGGGTCTGCCGATGATGATAATAATTACACGAATTTCAGCGATAGATGGCGCTCCTTCACATCTGATCCACGGCTACCCAAATTCCCACTGCACTACGTTATCGCGTCGATATCACGCGCGTTCATAGTCGTTGAAAAGTTCTCGCAGAATTATTACGTTATAGACGAAAATGTGTCGATTATTGGGGAACCATGCGTCATGTAAATTAACCGTAGAAAGCCGGCGTCACGCGTGAGCGAGGCGGCATCGGTACCGGCGCTCCGTACGCCGTGACACTGCCAGGTACTGCCTAGAGTGGGGCGATCGATGTCTTCCTGTAGGTTAAATCGACATTTACGGCAAATCAAGATTAGCTGTGATAATTATCACCCACAGATTGAGGCGATATGCGATGTAGATTTATGTACGTTCATTGACGGTCGTAATTATTACGTGGCATTCGGCGAGGCTGTTATGCCTAAGTGCGGTTGCGTGCGCGCGCGCGTATGTGTACGTGTGTTCGTGCGTGTGTTTTGTGTGTTTGTGTGTTTTTGTGCGTGCGTGCGTGAGTGTGTGTGCGCGCGAGTGTGTGTGCGCGCGCGCGCGTGTGTGTGGGTGTGTTTGCTCGCGCGCGTTGCCGTACGCCGTATGTGCGTCTACGCGTGTACGTGTATACGTACGTACATATGTTTGTGCGTGCGCTTATGTGCGCGCGTGTACGAGTCTGTGTGCGGAATTTTGAAATGAACTCTATTGAACGTGCTATTCGTACAGCGCTTCTTAGAACCTGTGTCAACTAGGCGGTCACTTGGTGGTTACAGCATATCATTCACATATTGCCCACACTTCAGGGAGATTTACTTGCAATCGTTTTGTTTTGTTTCCGGCGTTGTTTATTTCACCATGATGAACTCTCCCGCGCTTCCAGCAAGCACACCGGCCTCTATATATATATCTATATTCTCAATTAAGTCCTAATTATTTCAAAACACGTTCTGTTGTGATTTCGAGGATAACATTTTAATTTCCTCCCATTATAATTACTACAGCTGTATTAACAGTTAAAATCAATAAATAATAATTAATAACAGTGGAAATTAAAGGCGGCAAATGTAAAACAGCGAGGGATAGCGGCCGTTGGGCAGCCACGGATTGACTGGAGATGGCGCTAAAGGCAAGTGGGGTTCATGTTGGCAGGTTGATATCTATTGGAACCTTACTTGTTTCGGCGCGGTTTAGGCCTACTAATAACACAAATTACAAGTGATATCTAAGCTTGTATCACATGCAAGTTGAAATGTAAGTATGATACATGCATAAAACTCCGCATAGGTACGTGTATATATCTAGTTCTATCCATCCTAGTAAATCCATTGTGGGTAACAACGTCAGTAGATAATTAAGTATTAACTACTATGACAAGCTTATCAACGTTTATATCATGAGATTATTCGATATCCACGTGATGACTCTCACTGTCACATGTACGTTATTTCGCGTGTTTCCTTCCCTCTCTCGTTTCCTTCTTCCATACCCCTATACATTGTCGCAATAATCCAATGACCGTGGAATATACGGGGCGGTAGGTCATATCGTTATTTCGGAAAGAAAATTCCATAATTTTTACGTCGATATATGATCGAAAAATGTTTTTTTGGATTTTTGAGAGCAAGTAGGTCTACATCAATTTCTGTTCGCAAAAACAGGAATTCAAAGTTTAAATAAATAGCTGTAGCTATACGACCCTTAGCCACTTGATTTGCTTATTAACTAACCGTGTTCTCCATGCAAATAATCGGTCACGTTTTCAATTCGTGTTTCCTCAAATATAACTACATGATAATTATGCATGGGCAGCGGAAGTACGGGAAACGTGCAAAACAACGAGTGCAATTAGCGGGCGATTGAACCCTTTTCCAAATTCTACATGAAATTATCCATGTTAGTACCGATGTCGCGTATACAGCGATATTTTGTACTAAACGACCATTTTCCGCTGTTGAAGCCAACCGATCATGCGCACGGGCGTAGGGTGGCACCGACAGCACGGAAGGAAACAAGAATCTACGTAAACTGGACCTTCTATATAATGGCTTCATGTTACGATACGGAATCCTCCGCGGAATAGACGTATATATAGCTCACTCTGAGCATACGTACGTACATGAGCATCGTATTCACTTTCGCTTCGCGAGCAAGCTGCCGATGAAGCATGCACGTAAATGGGAGAAAATCTTCTAATTATATTGACGCATATCGTGCGTGTCACCACCACGCACGTACATGGCACAGGCTAGTACGTACGGCGCGCGCTCTACACCTATATGTCTCGCTATGATCGATCATCCTACTACTACTAATACTACACCGCCACGAGCTCAAAAATGCAGCGATGTTTTTCCGCGTTACCATGGCAACGTTGAATCATGCTACGCCGAGCAAGTGACACAGTAACGCTGATTGTGCTGTTTGGGTGTAATTACGTTCCCGCATGTACGACGGGATTCGGGGAACGATGAATCACGTTAAAGCTACCATCCTTCGTGGTAGTTTTACTGTCGTAATTGTAGATTATATCCTGATTATACGCGTGATAGAGTTTTAAGGTGGAATTAGGCGCGGTCTATATATTAATTTACAAAGACGGTCATCAATGATCTTCGTGCAACAGGGTTGCATGTTCGTGTAAAAATAATAATTCATGCCGTGCGTTTTCTGTTTGCTTTGATTGTGGTTCTCTTTTGATTTTACGGATTATATCACGTAACCCGTATACACCCACGCATATGATATTGTCATATAATGCTGAGAGAATATCTGCTCTACCGTCAGCGCGGTTCAATGTTAATCTTCCCTCGCAGCCGTTATTATGAGCTTTCGCTTATTTCCTGCTGCTCTGCAGTGTCGGGTCCTACGGCAGCCCACCTGTTCGTCTGTCTGCCCGTCCGCGTCTACACGCCACACCTGCGCGCAGCCAATCACGGGCCTCGCCCTGATTCCGACCTCCCTGACGGGCCTCGACGAGTTGCCGTTTTAGGAAGTTGGCGCTATTGTGCTTGCCATCCGCTAGTTCAGTTCACGTGCAAAGCGCATTCAAGTCGGACGACGTTGTTGTGTGCGGCCCTATTATGCTCCAGTTATTATAGTGGTGTGAAGGCCCTAGCCCCCAAAGCTATCTAAATAACACCGGACAACCGTTACAAAGGGACTGGCCATTTCTGCGGGAGGACACGCACGCATTCGTGGGTGCACACGATTCACGAGAAATAGCCGACTCGTGGTGAAGTCCGGCGGAAATTGAAACAGGAAAATCGAAGCGATTGAAGAAGGATTCAAACAACGGCTTGGACGGAATCGACGTCACAGGTAGGTGGATCAACGTTGCGGTCGTGCACATGGACTTTCGAGGATTTTTTTTGGGGGGGGGGCGTTTCGATGATATAATGATAGTAATTATAAGCATGATAATATTCACTTATATTAGTTGTTGGTTTGTGCACAGTGGCGTGCGTACGGTATTATTGTGTGTTATAAATAATTATATTTGGGTATTTGAACGACGTTTACGTGGAATAATATTAGAATTATTATAGTTATTGAAACGGCCCAGGTGTCTGTGCGGTCGAGCGCGTCTTTCTGCATCTAGTTTTTACGCTGGTGTCTATTTTTTACCGTACGTGTATTTATGTCGTGGTGAGCTATGTAACAATTTAAATAGATTATAAGATTATAATGATGATAATGCCGTTGTTGGAGCATCACAAATGAGCTCGTCCGGTTGGGTGATGTCATTTGCATCATTATTATACTGGAGGATAATGCGCGCTTCCCGTAGTAGGTCGTGTTTAGTACGCGGATCGTTGCATACCATTCCGCTACAAATCATGCTTTCTAAATTAACAACCGCCATGATTTTATTCAGGCGTTTTAGTTCATATACGCACACACGCGCGCACACACAGATACGCACGCACACCGCCACGCATACTAACATAACTCACGCTCACACGCACGCACGCACGCGAGTACGTATCTTCACGCAAAATATCTCCAGATATTCCACTAATATAGACATGCTCTTGCTGGACCTATATACTGAAGCTGTGTTATATGCTGCCGTTATGCTGCGCTATAGCAGCCACAGTGCATCTTCCCATGCACACACACCTCGCTCCTACATACTACGCCCTGATTCCCTTTCACTCGCAACGAAAGGGAAAGGACGCAAAATCGAAGCGGCGCATAACAAGAATAAAAAACAATACCCCGCGTCAGCGAGGCGAGCGCGGCAGACGAGATAGTCGATATTTCTCCATCTGCGAGCTGAATAGAGCGCGCTAAAAGGCTTTCGCTCTGGCGGCGGCAGCGGCAGCAGCGGCGGCAGCGGCAGCAGTGCGCTCGATCAGGTAACTCAGCTGCGCGGCGATTCACGGGAGACTGTCACCGCAAGGTACGGCGCGTGCGGGACATCGATTGCGTGCGTCCTACGTGCGTCTACGTGAGGCTATATAAGGAGCGAGTCGGCACGACGAAATGCGCGACAATTACTACTGATTCGCCGACGCCGAGTGCTCGTACCATGCCCCAGATTAACATATTTTATTTACATCGCATGCCCCTCGCGTTGTCGCGTGCACTCAGAGGTCATATACGGCGAGTAGTTAACAGGTGCGAAGAGCGCCACGTCTAAGCTGTGTTAACATTAATTTTCTTGACGCGCTCCAGCCTAACCTAAGCTTGCCGTGTGTACGCATGTACTTGCCAATGTCCTCGCCCCGTGATACATATTAAGGGGATGAAGTGGCAATTTGGTGACATGCTTGTGTTGGCAAATTCGCGGGCTAACGCCAGTCGTCAACAATTCTGTACATGGAAAGCAGCATATGGGTGCGGATCCAATTATGACAGTCGCCGACAACAATCGGGGCCTTGTAAGCAAAACAAGCCGTAGAATTCCCGACCATCATAGCGCATTAGTGCAGGTATACATGGCGGCGCCTAGAAGCAACAACTATACACCTCCGACACACACAGGCGAGCAAACACACACGCACACTTGTAAACACAGACGCGTATATACATACATACACACGCGCACGCACGCACGCACGCAAGCGCACACGCATGAACGCACTCGCTATATGCTCGTGTGTGTCTTTCGTCCGTATTTTTTTATCTCTCTTTCCCTCTCCCTCTCCCTCTCCTTCTCTCTCCCTTTCTCTCCCAGCCCTCTCTCTTTCTCTCTCTCTCTCTCTCTCCCTCTCCCTCTCCTTCTCTCTCCCTTTCTCTCCCAGCTCTCTCTCTCTCTCTCTCTCTCTCTCTCTCTCTCTCTCTCTCTCTCTCTCTCTCTTACTCTCGTACTCATGTGCGCGCGCTTTCTTTCTCACTCGTGCGCGCTCCCTCTCTCACTCTCGTGCGCGCTCTCTCTCTCTTCCTCGTGCGCGCTCTCTCTCTCTCTCTCTTCCTCGTGCGCGCTCTCTCTCTCTCTTCCTCGTGCGCGCTCTCTCTCTCTCTCTCGTACAAGCACTTGGAACGTCTCAATAATGTTAAAAAATAATGGTCAATAAACACGAGAGTGCTCTTTATCATGTTCTCTCTTATTCAGAGAAAGAGCTCGATTAAGAGAGCTCGATTAAGAGAGCTCGATTAAGAGAGAGAGAGAGAGAGAGCTTTCTTATTCATGTTGATTGTGCACAGGGCGTGCGTGCGGTGTACTTGTGTGTTGCAGATGAGCATTTGACCGGCATTTACAGGTGATTATAGGCGAAATAGATAAGTGATTTTCCACAATTACGTGGCGTTGAGAGTTTAGCCTAGTTTAGTGATGGAGTGTTCGTCGTTTTCTCTAATCCACCCGAAAACTTTCGTTCGGCGAACATACGTACTTTCTCTCCCTTTTCTGAGCAGAATTCACGGGGGTACATTTAAGTCCTCTGCGCATACTAGCTAGCTCTAGTACTATAGTCCTTGTTCCCACAGGCCCCTGTGGCAACAAGGGCTATAGTACTAGAGCTATGCGTATACCTGCTCTTAGTAGAAGTGAGTGGCTTGGCTTGGATCGCATCTCGAGTCGACAATGCGAGGCAAATGACGCAGCTGTTAGTCAAGCGTGCTGACTAACAGATCGTCCCTGTTTAAAAGCCACGACGCATCAGCTGCCTCCATTGATACCTCCATCATAATGCAGGTATAATTAAAGCAAGAGTTCAGAGCGCCATTTTCGCTCGACACACACGGGTGACCCACAACGGTCAGGAACAGTAAATTCAGTAACGTCGCTATTTTATGATGTCTGCATGACGATCCCCGGGTACAAGTCGTGCGTGGATATAATAGAACTTCCTATGTAGCTGCATATGTCATGTGGGCGCCAGTGATTGGTGACACCATGCGTGTCCCTCACTCTATCATCAGCGCATTTATTAACCTTCACCGCAGCCTACCGATTCAAGCGAAGATAATATAATACGAGTATAATAATAATAATAATAATAATAATAATAATAATAATAATAATAAATTACAAGGAATATAATGAATTATTATCCGCTATTATTCACTCTCGCTGCGCATGCACATAGCCTCTGTAAACGAGACTGAATACGTTGCTTATGAAGCGCATCCCGTAATTTCCGTAGTCAATACGAAAATCGTCTTGTTGTGTTTCGGAATATTAGCAGCGAGTGCCGCTGCGAGTGCAGTCGAGAAAATCTTGTCGAGGGGCATCGACTGAACAGGTTTTCCACGGCCCGCCAGCGAGTCGAGAGCAGCACCAGCCACCTGAGCAAGTATCATTTATTCGAACAAGCAACATTTCTAGTTTTTCTACGGGAAACAATGCCGTACTAAGCAAACACCGATTTACCGTCGCTGTTTATCCTATATGACCGACACTGCCCGCGTCTGTTTCCTTGTTTGCCAAAAGCCAGAGCGTAAATGACTGGTGCGTCGTGCACGCGAGTGTGTGTGCGTGTGTGTGTGTGTAAGTGTACATGTGTGTTGCCCCGGTGTTGCGAACCCAGCCCTCTAACCTTATCGTGACTCATCATAGCGATTTCTTTCGCGCGGGTTCGAATGGGTTACTTAATCCAGCCCTTGAAGTTGTTCCTGGTTTAAATTCTTTCACGCTCGGAAGAACAAAATGGAGAAAACAACACGAGGCAAAAAATCACCAGCATATATCTTCATCGGCATTGTTTCACTCACCTTTGCCAAGTCCGGCCCACCCCACCCCCTCGTTTCTCCTTCCCCTTCCATGCCGGCCCACCCACGCGGTGCGTTCGTCATTCGCATGCTATTTTCCGGGAACAGTGAGTACGTACGCTAACGCGAAAGTGTACATCCATATCGACACGACTAGAGGCTCGGCAGACGATAAATCAACGCGCAGGAACAAAAACGAATACCTTCGCCGCGTGAAGTCGCGGGGTGTCAGAAAGAACTCGTGCAGGGTTTACGGCCGACGATGATTTACGCGTATAGCGGCGCGGTGAGGGTAAACGGGGGAGTCGAGCTTTTCGTGTGCCCTGGTTTTCTTTCCTCGCCGACCCCCTGCCGACGCACAGCGTGCGTGAAAGTGGCAACCGCGTCGTGAATCTGCCGTCGAAGTCACAAATCGTCGCTGAACGACGAAATGATGTGCGAGGTGAGCGCAGGAGTGAATTGCAATCTTGTTCCCGTGGTGCGGTGCATGGGGTGTTCAACTGCGCAGCAAGTCTGCAGATGAAAGACTTCGGCTTGAAAACGATTGTTCTTGATATGTAGGCCTTGTTTATCATATTAATCAATAATTATTGACAGTTAAGTTTCATGTAGGTATAATCCCTACATTTTCCATCTCTAGTTTATACAACGTTAACACTGATGTGTATGGCGCGTGCGTCTTTGCGCTGGACTGCAACATTGCATGGGTGTGTAAGGTCTTAGGCGTGGAGCAAGAATAATGCGTAAGGTTACGCCGTGGTATTGTGACACCGTCTATAGCATATGATAAATGCCACACGTACATGGTTAATTATGAAGCAAGTGTAGGCGTCACCTCACCAAACACGCGCATCAACAGCGTATATATATATATATATATATATATATATATATATATGTG